AGGGGTAGGGGGTGGGAAGCAAGGGTAGGGGGCCCATGGTTATGTAAGGGGCAGAAGTGGCGGGAAGAACAGGTGGCAGGGATTAAGCTGCTTGACTCCCATCCACTGCCTGCCCTCCACTGCCTGCTCTCAATTTCCCCACTGCAGCACTGGTGGAAATGAATTTAAGATGTCCCTCCAGTGATTAGATTCTGTACACGGAAAATTATAACAAATTTTCCACGTGTAGAATCTAATTACTGGGAGTTGTCTTACCTTCAGGATCATCTTGGATTCAGGTAAATATGTTATTTTAGATGCAGCATGATGTGGATGGAAAACATGGGGCTGGGAGTTGGGTAGTGCTGCCTCACAATCCCAATACTGTCATGCAAGCAGTGTGGGTTCAGGCAAGTCACTTCACAGTTCTCTAGAAGAATGCCTCAGTTCTCTAGGAGAATAACGCTTAATCTCTGGAACTGGCATAATGATTAAGAGGTTGGTTTAATAGCTGCAGTGTGCCTCAAGCACTATATACATGGTATGTAACAACCAGAGGGGGTGGATATTGGAGTGAATCACAACTTTCTATCCTTGCACCCTTCCTGCCCCATATACAGTTGAATTGCTCTGAACACAGGTAGCTATATCATACAACCCTGTACTTGCACACAGAGACAGCTCCTGCACAGATGGCCATATATGACCTGCCATAGCACAGGATTCTCCTGTTTAGTTTGTTTACATAGATTCTCTTAGTACCTCACCTTCATAGTTTTGTCTAGCACCTTCAAGAATGCATTGAGCAATGTGACTAGTATATCACATGTAGCATTTCTCTCCTTTTTCCGGGGGACAAATGTTTGTAGAGAATGTTTTATTCTGATAGGGCTTTTTCTGGTGGGGGAGATGTTTTCTAAACGCACATAGCTGAAAGGGAGGTACATTTTGTATGGCTGCCCAAGCCAACCAGCGCTTATGACCCTTGCTGTAGCAACCATGATGAATCTCTTAAAAATATACTGCCAGAGCTGTCTGAGGTTTTAATTTATTTAGCATCTTGCCATAACATGTATAGATTATCTTGAAAGGCTGAAAGAATACAATTTCATCCATGCATGTTAGTGAGTGGACAAGGAAAAGTTAAACCATTAGGAAGGCAAAGACACTATCTACCCACTGAACTCAAAACTTGTGAATGAGGGGGAAGGCAGCTTACAACACAGATGATCTCTTGTGTTGTGAGGGACAGCACCAAGAGCAGCAACAATAAACCTATGTAAAAGGACATTAGGGCAAGAAGTTCATGGTTTTAGTATCAGTTCAGTCTTGGTCTCTGCTGAGACTGCCAATAAGGACCCCAGTGAGACTATGGTATTGCAGGATTCTAGGAACTGAACTGCAGTGAACTTGTTTCATAAAGATCACAAACATACCATGAGAAGTGAATTTTTTTGATCACTATGACTAGGGACAGACATTCAAAAAGCCAGAGCCTGAATTGATTCAATCTTTGCGGGTTAGTCTAATCTGCATAGATTGCACCAATTTGCAAGTGACCAGACATTCACTTTTGACTCCGGAAATGCAGGCACAGGTCTGCAGTGGCTCAGGCCAGAAGCTGGGGGGTGGGGGGGTGCGGGAGCAAGCCCTCAGCTGGAGGCAAACTAAGCTGAGGGAAGGGGTCTGGCCAGGCCCAGACAGGCCTGAGTATGATTGGGGAGGGGTTTAAACTTGCACCATGACCTGCAGGGACCACACCTGGGGTCCACCTGGAGGGGGAGGGAGGAAGCAGCCCCTGTTAGGGGTCTCCAGGTCC